GAGGGGCAGCCCTGAAGACTGAGCAGACAGGCGGCCCAGGCTCCCGCTTGCCTTTGGTGCTCGCTGAGGGCCACGCCCTGGGGTGGGGGATGGGGCTCAGCGACCGGTGGCAACACACCCACCCCCCTGCAGCCCCGGACTGACCTGGGGCTTCTCGCGGGGCTGAGAGCAGGTAGAGGACTGCGGGGTCCCCGTCTCTGCTGACCCCATAGGACGCGAGGCTGCGCTCAGGGGCACAGAGGCGCTGCCCGATGACCCAGCGCTGCACGGCCGGCGGGAAGCCCAACTCCGAGAAAACCTGGGCACACCGCAGCGTTACTGGGGCCACTCTCTCCCCTGCCCAGCAGGCCCCAGAGCTGTGCCCACCTGCTCCTGCAGGGCGGCGATGGTGCAGTGCGGGTGCACCTGCAGCGGGACTTGGGCCGAGGACGCGGCATCTTCCACGGTGACCTGCAGTCTGGCCACATGAGGGTCAGGGGAGGGCGGAGGCCTAGGGTGGGGACAGGGCTGGGGCCGGGCCTCACCTGATGGGGCCAGCAGGGAAGCAGGCCTCCTGCAGCTGGACTCTGAGGGCCACGTGGTGGTGGGCCAGGGTGGCCGCTGCGTGGGCCGCCCCCTTCTTGTCCCCGCACTCGATGGCCAGGGCCAGGAACCCCACCAGTTGCTCTGTCCGGAAGAAGACGCAGGTGGGCCTGGGGCGCTCCCTCCCCTGCCACCCTCCCTGCCACCCCCGTCACCCACCTTTACCTTTCACCCCCGAGTCTAGACTTCCGGGCGGGTCCGCCTTGTGCCAGGGTGCCTTGGGTAGGGGCGCTCCAGAGGAACTCGGGGGGGGAACAGGGCCCGTGTCCGAGCCCAGGGCTGGGAGTGGGCTGTCACTGCCTGAGAGGGAAGACGGGGATGGGGTGGGGTGGGGTCGGGGGGGAGCTGCAACCCCAAGAGCTGGCCGCGGCTCCATTCTCTGACCACAGCGTCCCCGCTTTTGCCGCCTCTGCCTTATCTGCATCTGGCCCTGCGAACCCTCCAGCTCGGGCCCGGGGCCCTGCGAGCGCTGAGCGGGGCTCTTGCAGGCGGTGTCCATGTCGTCGAAGGCCGGCCTGTCCCGGGGCCGGAAAGTGGTGCTGTCCGCGCTGGGCGTGCTGGCGGCGGGGGGCGCAGGGCTGGCGGCGGCCCTGCATTCCGCCGTGAGTGCCAGTGACCTGGAGCTGCACCCCCCCGGCTACCCGTGGTCCCATCGCGGCCTCCTGTCGTCGCTGGACCACACCAGGTGTGCGGCCGGGGGCGTTTCTGGGCGGCCGGGGCGGACGGAGCCCCGCGGGCCCTAACCCTGCCGCTCTGCACAGCATCCGGAGGGGCTTCCAGGTGTACAAGCAGGTGTGCTCCTCCTGCCACAGCATGGACTACGTGGCCTACCGCCACCTGGTGGGCGTGTGCTACACAGAGGAGGAAGCCAAGGCGCTGGCCGAGGAGGTGCGCGGCGGGGGCGGCACCGGGTGGGCGCCCGCTGCGGGGGACGGCAGCGCTGACGCGTGTCCCGGTGCAGGTGGAGGTGCAGGACGGCCCCAACGAGGACGGGGAGATGTTCATGCGGCCAGGGAAGCTGTCTGACTACTTCCCCAAGCCGTACCCCAACCCCGAGGCCGCGCGGGCAGCTAACAACGGGGCACTGCCCCCCGACCTCAGCTACATCGTGCGAGCCAGGTAGGTGGCCCCGCTGGCCAGCAGGTGGGGGAAGGTGGGCCTGGGTCAGGCGCTGAGGCTCGCCCCGCCCCGTCCAGGCACGGCGGCGAGGACTACGTCTTCTCCCTGCTCACGGGCTACTGCGAGCCGCCCACCGGGGTGTCGCTGCGGGAAGGCCTCTACTTCAACCCCTACTTTCCCGGCCAGGCCATTGGCATGGCCCCGCCCATCTACAATGAGGTCTTGGAGTTCGATGACGGTGAGAGGCCCCTCCAGGGTGGGCGGGCTGGGGCTGTGTCCCCCATGTTCTGGGGCCCTGGCAGGTGGGCAGCACCTGCC